AAAAAAGTCACATTCCTACGGAGGCGCGTAGCACAAATACACTCTGCTGTCTGGAACCGTCCCAAAGAGATGAGCAAGTCATAAAACAAATCGAAACTGGTTTGCTGTGTTTCAGTGCCCAAGTTGCACCAAGCCGCACCAGGGCATGTTGGTAACTTAATCCTTTTATTTTTTTACTCAGTGCCTTCGATAACAAGGCCAACGGACTCAATTCATTTGGGAAGTAAAACACACTTTTACAAGCCTGCAGTGTTTTCATAACTTTTTGATTGCCGATTTCAGCTTTCATCAGCTCAGGGGCAGGAACCAGAAGCACTGCAAATAGCTGTAACACTTACTTAGTTTTATGTCAGCTGCTATGAGTAATGTTGCCCAAAATGTGGATTTTTCAAAAGATGTAAATTGAAATGTAGGTCAACCTGCACCTCTGCAGAATCCTGCTTCTCCCTTCAGTAGTTGGGAAAACTGCCACTTAGAGATATTTAAAGTTAAGCTTCTGATTCATCTTCTGAAACAATATACAACAACTACACTCTACAATAAATTCCTCAGAAACTTGATGTCTTCATCTGGTCAGCTGCACAAATAAATACCTTTTGCTTAGCGCATCTGCAGGAAGAGGGGAGCAGCTGGTCGGCAGTGTAGGTTAGCTTGAGATCATCTGTACTAGTTGGAAGCTGCCTATGCTGAGGAAACTGGTGGAAGGCTGGGCCAGAGCAGGAACTGGGAACACATCCTCGGAGGCTCTGCAATACAGTCTCAGCAGTAAGTACCCAAACTAGCTTTTTCAGGCGAAATGCACCCTTTTTCATAACTAAGAACTCTTGTGTCTTTCCACATCACTCAAACACATGGCTATATACCAAATACCTAATACCAAATTAGGTATGTTAGCACATCCTCATCTCTTCCTTTTAGCACCTATTTATGGATCCTTGCTCATACATGTGTCTAAATCCCTTTTTGTCTTTGCAACATAGTCTACCTCCACAAACCCCCATGGTCTCAAATCCCAGCAATGCACCTGTTGCATAAAATAAATTTTATTTTATAAGTTTTAAACTCACATCCTACTGGTTTCAATAAGTGCCCCTTCTAATAATATTACTGACTTTGGTTAATAACAGATCAATATTCAGCTTATTTATCACCTTCATGACTTTGTAAAGCTCACTCAGATTTTCCCTTCAGCTTTTTCATGTCAGAAGTGAGAGTCTGAATCTCTTGTAAGGCAGCTGCTTCCATCCCCTTGACAGGGATAACTTCTTTAACTCGGCTGAAGTCCTGCCAAGGCGTGGAGACCTGAACTGTGTCACTAGTCAAGGTATGGTTACATGTACCAAGGTTTCACAGAGCAGCAAACTAATGCCATCTGCCTTGCTCTCAATACTTTTCTGGATGATACTAAGATTTTTGTTGACTTTTTTTTTTTTTTTTTCTGCTGCTTCCCACAGAGCCAGTGATTTCAGAGGGGTAACAACAGTGACTAAGATCTCTTTCCTGAGATGAAAGTGCTACTACTGAGCTCACCATTAGGTATACAAGGTTTTGGCTATTTTTTCTGATGTACCTTTATCAGAAGTTTATCTGCCAATTTTCTGCTAATTCCTTTTTTTTGATGTCCAATTGACTTGCAGATAAGTTTCTCTTCAAAAGCCCTTGAAAAGCTGTCTGTGTTCATCACTGACTTATCTGATTCCTTGCTCTTCTGTTTTCCTGTTTTCCTGATGCTACTGTTGCCTTTCCTCTCCCTGCTGACTAAATGGGAAGAGCTTACTTTCATTTTCCCTTATCCCCTCCCATGGCCTTGATACAACTGTTTACAAGCATTCGCCTAGTTGGTGGTGCATTTTTCTTCATTTATAATATGCTTATGAGATCATTTATAATAGGTGTGTGATGCCTCTCCTCCTGGCTAATTACTTAAAAGTATTTTCTTCCAAGATTTTAGGTCTTTCTCATCATACACAAAGAGTTCAGGAAATAATATAGGAAAAGAGAGTTGCCTTTTATGTCCCAGACAGCTCTCTGTATGTGAAATCAGTGTAGAGAGTATGAATCTGTTTTGAAATTATCTTACGGTAATTATTTTTCAGTTTCTTCACAAGGACCTTTATCATTTTGTCTTCTGTATAACATGAAATGACGTGGAAGAGCAAATTGCTAATTATATGAAAAACACTGTTCTGTAGTCTCTTCACATCTTTGAGGGCCCACTGTACTTCTGTGTAGGTATAGGAAAGAGATACAGACACAAGAAGCTGTATAACCATTCTAAAACTTTTTGATCCACCTGAAATGGAAAAAGAGGAAAAAGACCTGCAAATAAATCAATCTGTAACTTTAAAAATTTATCTGAGTGCACAGTCCTATAATGTAAATAAAAAGCCGACACAATAAAATACATAAATCAGAGGCCCATACAATACATAGGTATGTAAAATACACACAAATAGAATATATGTATTTTCATGCAGAATAAACTTTAAAGGACATCAGTAAGGGGCCCTGCAGTAAAGATAAAAGGTCTGCAGATAAGATCGTAAGGCCACAGAAGTAAGTATAGTGTCAGGCCCTCCTCTTCTGCCCATGACAGTGGCCAGTGCCAGATGTTTGCCAGTGGAAAGGACACAGAAGGATCCTTCTCACAACATCTTGTCCCAGATTCTGGGAGTCATCTGTTCCAATACTTCCTGAGCTGCAGATCACATACACGCCATTAAGGTCTCCTGGTAGACATGTTTCAAATGTGCTTAATCTGTGTCTATATTACATGTTTCATATGTGTTTCATAACCTGATGGCATGCAGGCTTTAACTTTCTATTTTGTAATTTCAGTGGCACCCCTTGGATTTGTGCATCCCGAGGAGGGATGAGTCACTTCAAGGACAAGGTCCTTAACAGAATCCATTTATGGTGCTGCAGATGCAATGGAGAAGACACCATTTCCAGCTGGCAGTGGAACAAGAAGCAATACATTTATCAAATGCTAAAAACGACATCTGCCATTGTGTGACTTGCCTGGATGTCCTTGGACCGTTTCTAGTCCTCACAGGTAACATGACAACAGTTCTTTCTTTAACCTTATTTATGTTTGTCGTGGTTTGAGCCCTGAGGGCACTTGAGAACCACACAGCTGTTCAATCACCCCTTCCCCTCCCCCCAGCGCTGGGAAGGAGAAAAAGTAGCAAAAGGCTCAGGAATTGAGATAAGGACAGGGAGGGGTAGCTCACCCATTATGATTATGGGAAAAAGACAGGCTCGTTAGGGGAAGGAAAAAAACGCATCACTTCAAAACACTAATGACAACAACACTTAGCAGACAAAATAGGAAAGTGAGAAGCTTACCACATCTTAAAAACACCTTCTCCCACCCCTCTCTTCTTTCTGGGCTCAGTTTTGTCCCAATATCTCTACCTCCTCTTCCCAGCAGCGCAGAGGACAAGGTATGGGGGGTGTTGTCAGTCCTGCCACTTCTTCCTGCAAGGAGAGGCAAAGCCTTACTCTGCACTCTTTCACCAGTTCCACGAGGCGTCTGTCTCTTAGGAGACAGTCCTCGACAAACATTTTCTGTCTGAGTCCTCTCCACAGGATGCATTCCTCTCAAGATGCTCTGGTGTGGGTCACCCCCATGTGTTGCAGTCCTCCCAGTGCCAAACTACAACATGGTGGGGACTTCTCTCCACAGAGCCCCAGGCCTCCTTTAAGCACAGCTGCCTGCTCCGGTGTGGGGTCCTCTGTGGGAAAGGACTTGAAAGAAGCAGACAGGACGACGCGCCCTGCTTCACTGTTGTTGTTAGAAGGGGATGTACTGGAACTTGTAGGCCATAAACCTTGGGCAGCCTGATAAGGGGAATAAAGAAGTGCTGATGTGGGGGAGAGTTACTGCCCTATGAGTCATGTGGCACCGGAGAAGAAGAAAATATAAAGTCTCTGAAAAACAACTTAGTGTCTGCAAAAAAAACTTAGTCGAAAACAGTCCTGTTGTTAGAGTTTTAATTAACTACCAATCAATGAGCATTGATAAAGAATGTTGAAGTATAGTAACCAATCAATGTAAGCCACTTATCTTCTGATTTCTTCTAATTTTCTATATAAATGAATGATTTCTGCAATAAATCTCTCGGGGTCTCGAGCTCAGACTCTGCTTGCATCAAGCTGTGTCCCGTCTCTCAATTGCGGCAGTCCTCCACAGGCTACAGGGGAATCTCTGCTCCACTGTGAACCTCCATGGGTGGCAGTGGGGGCAGCCCTTCTGTCTCACCATGGGATACAGGGATGCCTCTCTGTTCCAGTGCATCTCTCCCCCTTTCTCCTTCTTCTTTCCACTGACCTCAGTGTTCACACAGATGTCCTTCTCATAAGTCCTCCTCACAAGTCTCCACCCCCTTCTTAAATACCTTCTTACAGAGGTGCAGCCACCATTGCTAATTGGCTCGGCCTTGGCCAAAGGCGGGTGACTTGGAGCAGGGGGAGCTTTGAGAAGCTCCTCACAGGGGCCACCGATGTAGCCCCTTCCCCCACTACCAAAAACCCCACCACACAGACCCAGCACAATGGCTCATGTCAGTAATTTGCCTTCCTTAGCAAGATACTGTTTGACTGGAACTGCCAACTACACACACTGGAGAAAGCAATCTCTTTCTTTAAATAAATAAAAACACATTATTTGGATAAATAATATAAAATTGTTTAAAAGTTTTGCTTTCCTGGCAACTAGGGAGCAGAACTGCATTATCCATGTTTATCCAGTTGGCTTCTTCCATGCTAGTTGTGTACCTATGTATCATCCAGTGCACCATTAATAACAATATTGACTAATTTTTGAAAAATTGTATTTATCTTTAAAAGGTTTTTGGTGCAGATTTGTAGAACTGAAACATTTTGAGTACTGGGATTCCATGATATGACTATAAAATGACTTCCTTAAGAAAGAAAGGGAAGGAATCAGGCTTCCTACTGCTTTCAGATAACATCATGCTTTTCTGAGCCTCTTCTAGAAGGCTCCAGGACAGAAAATTTCATTACATTTCTTGCAACATTTCTTGCAGATTCAAAGCTAGTGTATAAAAATGCACATTTTTGTTTCTGGTAGGTCTCACCATAGAGTGTGAGCTAGAACAGTTTGGAAAGTAAATGTAGAACATCTTCCTTGTTGCTGCTAGGACTTGCACATCTGTAGGGGGGCACGTTCCAGTTTACTTTGTGGGGCTTTACAGTAATGCAGAGAGTGTCATCTGAAAACATACTTGGTTGAGGCAAAAAATGGAGACAGCTTTTATAGCTGTCATTTTCTATGAAAGCATAGATAAAATGACAGAGAACAGGAAGTCTTGAGTAAGCTTGAGTGTTAGGTTCTCTGCATGTTTTGTTCCTTGGAACAGAGATCTTCCCTTTCAAAGAAAATGGTAAAGTTTTGTTTACTGATTCACTGAGCAACACTCTTCTGACATGTTTTTGGAGTGTTTGTGTATCAGATGTAGTCTTGTGTTGAGAGAATTTGTTAATCATCAAGGATTTTTTACCGATTTTGGAAATGAATTTCAAACCTAATTTTTCTCTCCAGCTGAGGCACTAGTCAATGAGTTCAGGGCTGAGGCTGCAATAGGTTGAGGTCATTGTGCCAGTCTCAATGGATCATCTGCAATTCTCAGACTTTAGAAGGTCAGGGAAGTTTCTGAGACAAGGTGAGATAAATGATAGTTTAGCAGTAAGATCTCTATGCAAAGCTATATGCAGAAATTGTGAGCTTGGTGTCAGTCATATATATATATATACACATACACGTATATACTCAGACACAACAGAATATTTCTTGAGATGCACATTTCTCCTTAAGATCTTATGCTTACCTTTATTCTTAGTAAAATTTTTCCACCTCAAAGGAGAGAGAAAGGCTGTACTGCCTATATCTGGGCTGCATCAAAAGAAGAGTGAACAGCAAGTTGAGAGAGGTGATTCTTCTCCTCTGCTCCGCTCTCATGAGACCCCACCTGGAGTACTGCATCCAGCTCTGGGGCCCCCAACATAAGAGGACATGGACCTGCTGGAGTAAGTCCAGAGGAGGACTACAAAGATGATCAGGAGACTGGAGCACCTCCCTTATGTAGGATGAGCTGAGAGAGTTGGAGTTTTTCAGCCTGGAGAAGAGAGGGCTCCGGGGAGACCTTATAGCGGCCTTCCAGTACTTAAAGGGGACCTACAAGAAAGATTGAGAGGAACTTTTGACAAGGTCATGTAATGATAGGACAAGGGGTAATGGCTTTAAACTGAGAGTGGGTTTAGATGTAAGGAAGAAGTTCTTCACGGTCAGAGTGGTGAGACACTGGAATAGGTTGCCCAGAGAATCTGTGGCTGCCCCCTCCCTGGCAGTGTTCCAGGCCAGGTTGGACGGGGCTTTGAGCAACCTGGTCTAGTGGAAGATGCCCCTGCCCATGGCAGGGTGGTTGGAACTAGATGATCTTTAAGGTCCCTTTTAACCCAAACCATTCTATGATTCTGTGAATATGGGAATTGGCAGCTTGGTCCCGGTCTCTCCCGGTGTTACCATGAGGGGCAGCCATCTGCCCTGCCAACACGTCACTTCAGGCAGTTACCAAATTTCCTGTTGTTAAGACTAACTATATTCAACTTAGTGCAGTAGCTTTGCTTGAGGTGCTTTAGACAGTATTGGAGACCAAGAATTAAAGAACTTTCAAGTACTTTCTTTTCATGAATTTGAAGTCATCATGCTTCCTAACCTGGTGTGCTCTGCAATGCAACCCGTTTAAACTTACAGTAGCTCATTGCTGTCTCTGGGAAGGATGCAGGCAGTTAGAGAAGCTCAGCTTTCCCCGTTTCACGAGTCACGCCGGTTTTGACCAGAAGAACTGAAGCC